TCAGCATACTTTACACTTTCATAAAACACACTGAAATAAGTCAACCGAATCATTGTTAGAAGAGTTCAAATATGCTAATTGGTTGAATAAGACCAAAGCTGTCAAAAATGTCAAACCATCAAAGTTCACAAACTATTAAAGTTCGCAATCTAACAATCTAGCTGCAATAGTTCACAAACTGAAATAGTTCCGCAGGTCGAATTCAGCACTTTTAGTCTTAATACATAATCTGAAAGTAAAATATTCAGTGAAACGCGACCGAATTATGGCTCATAAAAACACACAAGTTTTATCACATTACGATTAGAAAACAAAGCCGAATTCACAGGAACTTGAAGATTGCTTAAGGTAACAGAACCGTAAAACTCGGCTGCTGTTTCTGATATGACCTTCCGCTAAACGAATCGGAAAGGGTACCAGAGCAAGTTCTTAGATGTTCACCCGAAAGCATTGCTTAAATAGTGCTTTACTGCGAAGGATCGTGCACATATACGTTTCATAACCGCAGTTCATATATATGTATCTCATATGTTTGTCGTTTGATTTATCATCTACGGGTTTATGTCGAATCAATTTGATGGCCTGCTCCCAGTTGGCTTGTTAGCTCAATTGGTAGAGCGCTGCACTAGTATCGCAGAGGATCCCGTACAGGCCTGAAATTTTTTTCAGGTCTGATTTTCACTATTGCTTAAATAGTGCTTTACTGCGAAGGATCGTGCACATATAAGTTACATTGTGAGTTTATGAAAAGTAACAACACTCTGAAAAAACTTGTTCAGAATATAAATTGTAGTTTCGTGTTCAAAAAACAAATGTTCAGCTTTGGTCTTATTCAACCAATTAGATAATTTGAACTCTTTTAACAATGATTCGGATTGACTTATTTCAGTGTGTTTCATGAAAGTGTAAATTTTCACTGCCATAACTGAAAACTCAAAGACCCTGATCGATTTATTTTTTACCAGTCGTCCGGATCTATATGTCGCGGGGGTAATACCAGTTGGCTTTAGTGATCACTCTCCGACATATGCCGTTCGTAAACTACATCGTTTAAACCGCCTCCCGCGAGGATAATTGATACTTGGAATTTCAAGCGTTTCAATCGTGATGCTTTCATTGAAGATCTAAATAAAGTTCCGTGGTCATTGATAAATTCCTTCGCAGACGTTGAGGACGCATGCGACTCATTTAAACAACTTTTTGGTGAAGTCGCCGACTCCCGTGCCCCAAGATTCCGCGTGCAAGTCAGGGGACATAAGGTACCGTGGCTGACACGCGAGGTGAAACAACTAATGAATGAAAGACATCACTTTCATAATCTGGCATTGAGGACAAACAATGAGCTTCATTGGAGCTCTTACAAGCGCTTACGCAATGTTGTGACTTTGAAGCTCAGAAAAGAGAAACAAAGATATTGTAATGAACAGTTCCGGGAGACAGGAGGAGATTCCCGTGGGACCTGGAAAAACCTAAAACAACTACTCGGAAATGGCTCAAAGAGTAACAGCGCCGCTGCTCGTATGGCAAATGAAGCAAAATACAAGTGTAACACTTTTAATCGCTTCTTTGTCTCTCGTGCCGAAGATTTAAGGTCGATCCACCGATCAAGCGCGCGATCCTTTTCCAAATGGCTGCCGCAGATTGATCGTCCAGAAAAATTTAATCTACGAAAGATCACTGTATCGGAGGTTAGTAAGGCTCTTAAAAATTTAAAATCGAAGAAAGCGACAAGTGTTGATGGTATTCCATCTCGTCTACTAAAAGACGGATCAGACGCCCTGGCTTCTCCATTGTCGGTCATTTTTAATTTAACTATCCAACAAAACGTTATCCCTGCTAAATGAAAAATGCGAAAGTGACCCTCTGCATAAACCAGGCTCAAAAGATGACCCTTGAAACTACCGCCCCATATCCGTATTACCTAGAACGTTTAATCCACAAGCAACTTACAAGTTTTTTTGACGATCATAACTTGCTCTGTAAATTACAATCCGGTTTTAGAAGAATGCACTCAACTGAGACGGCTGTAACTTATTTCATCGACGAGATTCTCATGAATATCATATCAAACTCATGGGGTACAAATAGTCACTTACTGAATTTCGTGACCACGCCCACTTCATCGGCCCACTCAAATCGAGTGCGATTTTTGGATGTTATATCATCTTGCCGACTCTCTGTGTAAAAAGTTAACAATGTACCACCGAAATATTGAACTACAGTATCATGGCTTTCCATTTTGTGTATTTTCGTACAACAAACTAAAGTTTTTCCCTCGTCATTTTCACCTTTTCCCGAGCGGGTCCGTCAAAATTAAGAAGGCGTTCGTGGTCAAAACAAGACCGAGCAAGGAGTCTTGGGCGATTTCTCTCTTACGCAAGAGCAAATTGAAAATGTCCCGCCAAAATCAAAGAGAGGAACAAATTTCCTTTGTTTTGATATGTAAATTGTGGAACAAGGAGCAGATTGAACCTCGTCAAATGCCTAGTCAAAACAGCCACACCTTCCTCCTTTTGCTCGTTTCCTGTTTTATAAGCGTGAAAGCAGTGGGAGAAGAATCGGGTAGCTCGGAAAGCGCTTCACCATCGTTTACTTACGAGATAAAAAAGTAAGATTTGTAAAGTTATTTTCCGAAAGAGTCGGAATAAATACATTTTTTTCAGGTTAGATTGCTGTTTTTACCCTAAACGTCGTCCAATAAATTTTTGTTGCAGCCTACTAATCTATACAATTTCGAAGGAAAATATTCAGATGCTTCACCGTCCCCGAAGGGGGTTCTGTCCTGGTGTACCGGTTCACAAGGGAATTACCATTGTTCTTTCTTTGTTTAGGAGTTATCGGTTAGCTATTGTGTATTGTTTGGTCTTTTGTATTGGCTCTTGTGAACCGGTACACGAGGACAGAACCCCGAAGGGTCTCCACTCATCGAAGCGTGTACTGTAGCCAATGTAGTGAATTTTCAGTCTCTTGTTGGGTTTGTCAACCTCCGTGACTTCAATATCATACAATTTTGTATCTTTTCTCTGTGAAATGACCTTTTTAACAGGGGTGTATGCTGAGTATTCGTTGCAGAATCGCTTTGGTTCTCTTATCTCTCTCTTTGGCTTGTCCGCCATTTTGAAAATTTGCTCAGGATGGCATCTGGGTTAGCGGCCGCGCCAGGCTGGAGCCGACAAAAACAAATGTCCATCGCAGTGGGGAAACAGTTTGATATGGATAAGGGCTTAGTCACTAGTTCTGTGTTTATTGACCTGGCAAAGGCTTTCGAAACAGTTGACCATGACATTTTGCTTAGAAAATTAGAGTATTATGGTAGATGTGACGAAAGCCTTCCATGGTTTAAGAACTACTTCACGGGTAGAAAGCAGTTCGTGCACATCATGATTCTCAATCATCTGAAGAGCTTGCTATAACTTCTGGAGTGCTGGAGTGCCGCAAGGGTACATCCTCGGACCCCTGTTATTCATTGTCTACATTAATGATTTACCACGTTGTGTCAAACACTGTTTTATAAATATGTACGCTGACGAAACAGTTTTATATCTTACTGGCCAAATAGTAGAAAGTTTAACTTTTTACATTAACCAAGATCTTCAATGTCTACCTGAATGGCTAGAAGACAACAATCTTGTTCTCAATGTTTCAAAAACTAAGTGCGTACAGTTTACATCTCGAAGGCATAAAGAGCGCGATTGTATTTTAAATCTTAATCTTCTCGGAAAGTCTTTATCTTGCGAAACTACTTTTTAATACCTAGGCGTGGTGTTGGACAATTTAATGACTTGGAAGGCTCACGTGGACTATGTGTGTAAAAAGGTGGCGTCAAGAGTTAGTATTGTGGGCCGTATTAGAAGTTTCGTCACAAAAGAGGCAGCAACACTTGTTCATAAGGCTTGTTCATAATTCTTCCCTAATTTGATTACTGTGGCATTGCCTGGAGTAACCTTCTACAGCAAGATATAGATCGACTATAGTGCTTACAAAATAGATCTGCACGGATTTTTACACGTTGCTCCGCTCATCTGAAGCAATAGAGCAGCTGCAATGGCCGAATCTTTCCAGCAGACGCTATTACCAAAAAGCTAAACTTGTTTTTCTCTGTCTTCACTCATTGGTTCCTGGTTACTTTTCATCATATTTTACCAGATTTTCGAATATTCACAACTATTCCACAAGGCAAAGTATGAGGTTATCCCTACCAAAAGTAAAACAAAAATTTGGGGAAAAGGACCTCTCTTTTTATTGGCGCAGAAATTTTTTTATAAACTCCCTTTGAACATTGTGAAGAGTGAAAATATTCAAACGTTCTGCCGCCGAGCAAGACATTTCTTTTTATCTTAACTTTCATATTTTATCTAATATTTTAGGTCTTAATTGTGTTTTGGCTTTCTTAGTTTTAGGCTGCAAATGTAGTTTTAAAATTCTAGTCATATATATGTATATATATATAAAATTGAGAATCTTGATGGAAATTATTTTTAAGAAACAGGGCCCCTATGGATATCAGCCTTTGAGCTGAATGGGCTACCCTGTGTGAATAAAGCTTTACTTTACTTTACTTTGGTTTTTTGAATACGAAAGTACAATTTATATTCTGAACAAGCTTTGTCTGAGTGTTGTTACTTTTCGTAAGCTCACAATTTAACTGATCGCAAAAATCTTCAAAACTCGGACAGTCCATTTGGTTTTTCTCTTTGGTGATTTTCGTCTCTGCAGATTTTAGACTAGCGTCAATTACGGCGCTTGCCATGTTTACAAACCCTTGTTTGGTTCTTCTCGATGTTGCTACTTGCCCGCTCGTTTATTCCGAAATGTCCCTTAACAAGTGAAAGCCAAAGAGAAGTCCGGGAAATGGTCGGATATTGCACCAATTTGGCATATGACGTGACAGCTGTAGCTCAGCTCCGTGTTTTGTACTACGATAAAACACACTCTGTTAATCAATGTCAGCATAATATCAGAGAATTATTGTAGGGTTTTCTTTTTGTTTCTCCTTTTCTAGAAACGTCAGAGCTTCAAAAGAATGTGCAAGAACTGAAAAGAAACGTCTCGGCTTTAAGAGATAATTCGGTAGGAGCAATTCTTTATCATTAGCAGTGCTCAATTTAATGCGAAATTGTACTGATGTATAATAATACATGGGTGTATGTATATACTTAAGACTGATAGCCTCAAAGTGACTTTACCTACATTCATACACAGGTTAATTGACCACTCCCCATAAGGGCTTTTCAGGGCCAATTCCTACCCATCCCACTCAGGCGAGGACATCCACCACACATTAATCTCGTGCGTGGGAAATTAACGTCTCCTACCCCTAACCCTGCAGGAGACGGGGCTTACGGTTTATTCGTCCTTATCCGAGAAGACTAGAATATCTATCCATTTCTTGATTATAGAAAGGTAGCAAATTCTCCTCACTTATTTTAATACTATGAGTATTGGTCCGGCCAGGGCTCGAACCCTCGACCTCCCGCACAACACAATCCGTAGTTTTCTCCTACTTTTTGGAACACCTTTAGGAGCATAGCAGGTGCGAACCTTATCCTGCAAATTGCACAACTACATAGCCATCATTATCTCAAGACCATCATAAATGAACAATAACAAGAAGCTATTCTCTCACGGAGTAATTCAGTCAGATATATTGATCTGCATTTTTTTGTTGTTATAGGTTTCAGGAGATATAAAGGAACTGGAGGAAAACGTGAGTTGTTCATTCATTCACCGCTACTTTCTTCTTGTCACAGTTCAATGGGCTTCAGCTACACCACAGCAGTCATGTTGTTACAGTGATAATAATAATCATCATTTTAATGTTAATGATAACAGTAATAATAATGATAATAATCATGATCATAAATCATCAATAACATTTAACGATTCATACAGGAAATAATGTGATGTTGAGCAGTTCGTTTTCTTTGTTTTCCTTCCTTGTGATAGGTCTCAGCAGATTTAAAGAAACTAGAGACGAAGGCTAGTTTAAATCCATTCGTTTGCAATCCCATCTGCATTGTGAAATTATTTTGAAATTAATGAGTTTATTTAGTTAACATGAGTTTTTTATTCTATGGCAGATGAAAAAAGATATGGAAAATATGGAAATTATGAAAAATGAGGTAAGTTTCAAGATCAGTGATAAGAGTTTTTTGTCGTCTGTATTTTACAGTCTCTACCATCATTATCTTCGAAAGCCTATCGTGGACTGTTTTTTTGCTTTATGGCAGATAAAAAAAGATATGGAAAAGATAAAAAACGAGGTAAGTTTCAGCGATGAGAATTTGTAATCATCTGTATCTTTCACTGTTTCGGTCCCTATCATCATTATCATCGAAAGCCTAACGTGGAATGTTCTACCTAGTTCAGTAGGCCCACTATCTATCCCTCCCCAGCGAGTGCAAGCTTGTCGTGGTTAGGGGGCTTGCGTGTCTCTATGACCTGGAGAGCTATGCTGGCGGGAGATTCGTCTCCTGGTAAGGCCACCCATGCCAGACAAGTCGAAGGGTAGAGACCAGACAAAAAACATTCACTGGTCCTCCAGGTTGGGGGTTCGAATATTGCTAACAACCCAATTCTATAATACAAAGCCTGTTACAGAAACCGCAAGAACAGTATCTGAAGACATCTTGGTTTGGGAAGAGTCCTCTCTGGTAGAGCTCATGACGCGGGCCGGTGAAAGCCCTCGGGAAGCCGGTGCGCCGACAACTCTTCTGTCGACAAAGGCCAAGACCAGGATAGGGACCTGGAACATCAAAACCCTATGTGGGTCGCCCAAGGCAGACTTGGCGAAGGAGCATTGGAGCTGAGGCGAGGGCTGCCGGACTGACATGGGCCGAGCTGAAAAGGGTCGGCCAGAACCGAGTGCGTTGGAGGAGTGTAGTTGCGACCCTTTGTTCCCCAGGGAATCAAGAGGCATAACTACTACTAACTACTACTAACTATCCATTCATTAATTTGGTGGGTTTTTTGTATTCATAGAGCAAAATTACAGAGCTACAGGATATTCGTATCGCAGTAAAAGATGCTGCCCAGACTTTGATTGGTCTGAATACAAGCGTAAACGAGAAGTTTAATCTTTTTCAACAAAAAATCATGCAACTGGATCTAAAGGTACATGTAACTAAATGCTTGTTATTGTGCTTTTATCACCAAAATTCGAAATCAACCAGTCACAAATGTTCTGATATCATACAGTGCCAAGTCGCTGACCTAAGCTGCACGTTATCACGGTCTCTTTCGATAATATTAAAGCTATTGGTTACAAAGTACGTGGTACAGCTAAGCCTCTCTGCCTGACACAGAAATCGAGATTGTTTTTGCATTGTGTACGAGTGGGTATTTTTGGCTATTGTCAAACGAATAAATTCTTACAGTCTGCAAGAGCCCGGTTGGCAGATAATAAAAGAGATAGTAATAACAAAACTTCTTTTCGTTTCTAACAATAAACTTAAGTTCAGATTTTTAGACGTGGACGTTTTGAATTGAGATATTTGCCTATTGTAAAACAAGAAAAATCGTGATTCATTTTGTTTCAATCTGAAGAAACGAGAGAACAGAGATTTGAAAAAACTGCGCATAAGCAGGGAAAACATATCTACCCCAATCCAGCCTGACATGATAAATGAGCACGTAATAATATCAGTAAAATTCATTCACACCATGGAGATTTCGCCGATTGTTAAAACTTTTCTTGGATCTCCAAGAATTTCCATTCAGCAAATTTTTTCCAGTCATCGAAAGGTTGACAAACTGCCAGATAAAAAGTTTTATAATAAATTACATGTTCATTGCTATTATCAGTGTCAATATCAATCACATCGTTATCTTTGTTGTCCATCATTGTTATTGCTGCTATGATTATTCTTGTCATTGTTTTTAAATTGTCTAGGTGACAAACAGTAGTAGCAGCACGAGCATCATAGGACCACCTGGATTCAATGGTACTAATGGTGACACTGGACCTACTGGACCAGCCGGACCTCCAGGATATAATGGTACTCAGGGCCCTGCAGGACCATCTGGAACACCCGGTGTTCCGGGCCATCGTGGACCATCTGGGTACAATGGTACCCAGGGCCCACCTGGACCAGGGGCCAGCTCCTGTGTTTTTAATACTTCATCCAGCCCTGGTGGACCAACAGGCACGTACGCCAGTCAAGAAATCTCAATAACAGAACCAAACGTAAGTTACAAATCAGTTCTTAATATATTGGATAAAGAAGAAATAATAAATCGGTGTTACTAGCATTTTGTTTTCAAAACGTTTGTTGATGAAATTTTCAGCTTTAATCCTACTTGTACAACGTCGTCTTGCTGCATAAATCCGCCTCTTTTCGTTTTCTTTTTCTGATTTTTAGTGAAACAAAATTTGTATTTTTATTCCAAAAGTTTTTTCTTAATAGCGATGTACAATAAAAATGCCCAAGGTCAATATGTAGATTTTAACTACCAATAAATGATCTCAAAATGGCAAGCAAAGCAAAATGGCCGAGAAATGTCTCGAGGCAAAAGCGTTTGCCACAAAACTAATTAAATTGGAAGAAGCGAAATCGATTGACTATCTGTCGTAAACGAAACCTAGGTGTAAGATTTATCAGTGGAAGAGTTGCTTACTTGACTTCAGGGCCAAACAATTCACGTAGTGCTTATTAAAAATGCTGAAAGTTGTATGATTTTGAAAAAATCTTCCTTTGAAAAATATTTTTGCAAAATGTTAACACTTAAAATATTATTTCCTGGTCCAAAGATTAGTCCAAATGTAAAAGTCAGCGAGTTCAGTTTTCATTTTCCAGCTACAGTCTGTATCGCTTTTAAGAATCGAACTCCACTCGACTCCAGAGCTAAATTTGTCGCTTTTGAGTCTTTAATTTCAATCCTTTTGCGAATAGAGTATTTTTAGCGTATTTAACTTTCATTTTAAGCACCAAAAAAGCTAACTTAACTGGGTTGAAACGGACGGTAAAGGAAAACATTTAGCAACGTATTCCGTTTGAAACGGAAGGTAAAGGACAACATTTAACAACGTTTTACAGACATAATGTGTTCAGTGCCAACTTGTCGGGCAAGTTTATTTTGCCACTAAACGTACGATAGCATGTTTTCTAATTACAATCTCGAAACCATCAAAGCAATGGTCACCTCGAACAAAGAGACGTCTGTAAACTGATGTGTCAGATTTTCAAAAAATGGTGGAGGGACTTTTGCCCAAGGGGTGGATCCTTAGGCATTCATGCGGCTCAAGAGATTTAAAAACAAAAATTGAGTTGGGAGGGAGGAAGAGGTTTTTGATTGGCACTAAATATAAAAGGTCACGCTGACTTCTAAGTTTAGGTTGCTGTGACCATTTTCTTTTTCGCCTACTCTGACTTTTTCAGTTTATGGCTAGAACACTTCAGAAAAAAAAAAGAAAACATAAAAACTCAGACAGAAGATTAAAAAAAGATGAAATGTTATAAATTTTATTTGGTAATTAACTAAATGACACGGAAAAGGTAAAAACTTTGGGCACAGTGAAATTGGGGAGGGAGATTCATGGTTGGCTCGTTCGACAATGGCGCTAAAATTATGCCGAACTGTTTTTACGGATGATGTCGCAGAGAGATTTTTTTGTTTGTCTCGTACAACGATACAAAAGAGCGTGATTTTTAGAAAGAGGCGAAACAGGTTGTATGACTAGCAAGTTGCAGAGACAGTTTATTGTATGGCTTGTGCAGCACGAACGCTAGTGTTATGGCTAATTCAAGAAACACTTATGTGAATGTTAACGTCGGACAAACTTCTTTGCTCGAATAACAGCGGCGCGAAAAGTTTTAAATTTCAAATGGTAATGAGACCACGCCGAGGGTTCAGTTATTGCTTAGCTCGAATGGAAATAGCGTGAACAATAGTGATTTTCACAAAGGCACGAATGCTTGGGTCAAACAAGTTTCTTTTTTCGTATAACAGTCGCGCGACAAAAGCACAATATACTAGCTTTTCCTTTTGATCGAAAATATACATGTAATTACACTTTTTTTAATCGAGACATTAAGGTGATAGTGCGTGAAGTTTTTGAATTGTGAATTAGTTGTTGAATTCTTACTTCAGCTTTCTCTTGAACTAATATAACGCGAAAGTGCCCGAGTTCAGAATTTCTATGTTGTGGAGTTTAACCCCTCCCTCCCTGTGTCTACACAAATTTCCCCGCAGTTACCTTGTAAGTAGTTATTGTTGACAAAAACTTACTTACCCCTTCACCGAACCAGATTATGTTCGTCATTTTTGCCATTGCCGATGATTTTAAATTTCGCGCTGAGGTATTCAGCTTAGATTCGATGTTTAAGCTTTGTGCTCTTAACAAAAGAGCCTAATCCCCTGAAGCAAAAAAAATAAACATAAATGGTACATTTTTGAACCCTATTGTTAAACCGGAATCTAACCTGCACTCATGATAACATCATTTCGGTATGAAGGACTCGGGAAAAACCATGTCCCAGATTGCGGTCGTCGGCCGTGTTCGGTTCATCATAAATGATGTAATATGTACACTTACCTATTAACAAACAGAAAAAAAAATTAGGAATAAGAAATAGGGTAAGTTTTGAGCTCGATAAAGAAATAGAGAAAGGTGCATCTTTAGCTCAGTGTTAGGGCATCAAAGCATAAGATCAGAAGGTATAAGGTTCAATTCCTCATGGGGACTTAAGTTTTTGTTTGTCACACGCTCGTGACAGGACAAAAAAACATCTCTGAAAAGATATGTGTTCACCTCTCACATCTCGAATTCACGACGTCATTTCTCATCATCATCATCCTTTTTTGGCAGGATAAGACGTTTATTGGTGTAAACTGTGATTCAAATGACGCAAAATTTGTTCAGTTATCAAGCTCCAGCTCAGGTGGCAAGAGAACCTACAAGTGCAAATGCGGCAATGGCCTATCAAGTGGAGATCCAAAGATGTTTTGCTACATCCACTTTTGGGAGTGTCAGTCCTGAGTGGGAAAATATAAAGCCATAAGTGTAACGGGTCTTGGTGAAGAAGTTGATCTAGTGTTGAACCAGGAACGAGACGATGAACGATTTAACCGTCTAACATAAGATTCCTTTTTCAAAAATGCCCAGTGATGAATTAATTCATATTTCTAATAAATATTTGTCAAAGAAGAATCAGAGCTGTATTTATGTATACAATACTGGGAACCTAAAACTATTCGCTTGACATGATTCTGTGTTTCAAAGATAAAAGGCCGTCAAACCGGTTGCCAGAGAAAGAGAACCAGCGGGTTCAGCTGTCCAATAAAAGTTATACTCTTCTTCTCTTTGACGGATTTATTATAAACTTTGTTCTCGATACATAACTATTTTTAAATTTTCACATTTGTAAATTAGGTATGATTTAATCACATTTGTAGTAGATATTGATTGCTAATTTTAGACTCAGTCCATCACCAATTAGTACGACGACAGAGTTGTATCTTTTAGAGCGTTGTGCTACGTTTCAGAGCGTTATGTCTTCATCTTTTAGGAAGCATTTCAATTACGGATGGCGTGAGCTTTCTTGTCACCCACTTAAATTCGCCATATGTACCCACATTGTGTTTACTTCGGTGTCGAAGTAACAAGTCCGAAGTATCTATAGTTGACTAAGCTAAGATTTTCTTGTCATTCATACTCATTCAAAGATGTACATGATTTATGAGCGAACATTTATGAGTGAAAATTTCAACGAGAAACATGCTATATCACCTGAGCTATCTAATGTTAAACGAGAGAAACTTAAACGCAAATCTCATCGTGTGTGTAGACGTGATCATGAAGCAGGCAGAATAAACGTGAGCATAAAGGTTAGGGAATGTGTCTATGCAAGTATTCTATCATGTATACCCATATAATCTACATTGTTCTGTGATGTAAATGATAAAAGGGTGTTAAATGAAAAGATGTTTAAGTTTGACGGTCGTGAAAGAATTCGGCAAAATATAAGAAAGATAAAATACTGTGCCAGTCGATATTCAACATCGTTTTCTTGTACCAACTGATGTGTTCATGTGAGAGTGAGGCCCATGTAGCAAACCATTGCAACTATAAATTGAGTAGAAACATAGTTAAAAAATCCTGGTCTTCCAACATATGTTGACCCTAACAATTCTTGGGTTTCAGGTGACGTCACAAGCTTTGCAGAAGTTAGCGTCCGCCATGTTGGTGTCCCTCAGGTGTCAAATTTATGAATAATTAGTCGATTTCTATAGTGAATCCCTCTCTCTTATCGCCGTATTATTTCGCCAACTACATGAATATCCAGAAAGAAAAAAGCGATAAAAGTACCTGGCATTCATCTTAAGGTATCCCAGTGCTCTCTGAGTATGCCGAAAGCTTAGAGAGTTGGATAAATTAAAAATATTTGCAAAAGATCTCGGTCATCGGGGTTGACCCCGCAAGCATACCAGCCGAGAAGTTCAGTCCATAATGCTTGCCTCCTGTGGAAGTGTCGGACTGGCTGAGTTACCTCGTTCTTGAGACCAGCTTCTACACCAAGAAGCAGTTCAAGGCGTTCAAGAGTCTGGAGGCGTTTAATCACATGGTGTCGGGATTTGTAACCTCACTTGTAGGCAAAGTAATCGCCGGCAAGTATGTCGTAAGAGCACGAGTTTGGCATTCACAGCATATGAATGATCCTTTAGTGAACATTTGGGTCATTTCTGAAAACGATGGGACTATTTTGTCAGCCCATTGCTTGGGATGCAAAGCTGGACTGGCTGAGTCATGCTCACATATCGCAAGTATTTTATTTTATTTAGAGGCAACTACTCGAATGCATGGCAAGCTCGCTGGGTGTTACGAAAACTCAGACCCCGAAAACTCAGACCCCTCGAAGTGCTCTCCAACCTTCCGAAGTGCTCCATAATTCGTTAGTGCATAGCATAAAGCATGAACCAATTGCTTTATAACATAACCGGTGGAACAATGCAACAAATCCGACGCGAAAGACGGACAACAATATCAAGAGTGATTCTTCAGTGAAGCGAATCGAGACGGCGCTGATGCCGAGTCTTCTTTCCCGTTCTTTTCCTCTTTCTGCCTCATTTAAGAACTCTACCCCAAGGGTCGCAAAATTTTCTTCGTTTTGGGACTGGTGGGCCGAGTCTCTGTATCCATTATTATTGCGAAATATTTAAAAATTTTAACAGAGCAGCAACAAGGATCTGTGCGATGAAGTATAAAAAAGTAAACAAACGTCCCTTTCGGGTGGTCAAAATCACGCCACATTTTAATACTTTGGTGTTGGAGCGAGCGCATTTGATCCAGTCAACTGTGAATGAAAAGCTCAAAATTAAAGAGAAAAATGGAGGAAATCTAAGGTAAATGAAGTCTTGTGTCACTCTATAATGTTTTAATACTCAACGATCGGACGGTTTTGCGAAACATGCAACTTGCGGCCTTGTTTTTGCTGTTTCAGTTGGATCAAGACCCAAAAGGTCAAAATATACGCGGCATTACCAGGAGTGATCATGAGTGGAGTTTATCTCTTGTATTTTTGAGGGGTCTGAGTTTTTGGGGTCTGAGGTCTGAGTTTTCGGGGTCTGAGTCTTCGTGACACCCCAAGCTCGCTTGCACTCAAGTAAAATGCTTATCGATTTTGCCGACATATGTCAATGAAGTGCCGTATGCGAGGGCTAAAGACATCGATTTCTCATCGGCTAAGAAGCTTGAAGAAAAGCTCGACCAAAAAAGCGAGGATCTACAACAGCCGCAAGCCTCGAACCATACAACAACTTCTAGTTCCTTCTGTTCTTCCCCTTGATTTGTAATGATCTTAGGTATAGCGCATTAGATCATATATCCAATGAATTTTTCGCTATAGAAATAGTAAAACGACAACAAACATATGAAACATATGTGTGAACTGCGGTTATGAGACGTATATGAGAACGATCCTTCGCAGTAAAGCACTATTTGAGCAATAGTGAAAATCAGACCTGAAAAAAATTTCAGGCCTGTACGGGATTCGAACCACTGACCTCTGCGATACTAGTGCAGCGCTCTACCAATTGAGCTAACAAGCCAACTGGGAGCAGGCCATCAAATTAATTCGACATAAACCCGTAGATGATAAATCAAACGACAACAAACATATGAAACATATGTGTGAACTGCGGTTATGAGACGTATATGAGAACGATCCTTCGCAGTAAAGCACTATTTGAGCAATAGTGAAAATCAGTGAAAATTTGAGCAATAGTGAAAATCACTATTGCTCAAATAGTGCTTTACTGCGAAGGATCGTTCTCATATACGTAAGAAATAGTAAAATTATTAAACTATTATACGAAAAAATCCTTAGCCTTTATGCTTTCCACTTTTGCTCGAACAGTCAACAAGAATGCATAAAGCCATCCCTTCTTTCTCACATGAACTCTTCGTTAGGTACGGTTTGTTTACGCTCGAGGGACACCAAGATGGCGGATAGTAACCGTTGCTAAGCTATTGGTCACGTGGGTGAAACCTGGGAATAGTAACTCCATATAGTAGAGGGAAGTTTTTGGAGAGAATGCAGGACGATAAAGTTATGTAATGAGTTTGTGCTCTTTAATTTACAATAACACACAGGGGATCAGCTCTGCACATAATCTTATATATACATTGGAAATCAGACAGGCGTTTTTAATGCAGCCAGATTTGATAACAGCCTTAACTATGAATACAGTGAAGGCTACTCTGGTACTGTTCACCAAGCAAGTGCTGTAGAGAGAGATACCAGTACTGTACCTTTTTACGAAGAGCCTTTGAGTAGCTCACTTCTAAAAAGCTACATTCATTTTATACTCTCTGTAAGGTGTGTTGCTGTTGCAATCTATTGTAATAGTAATATGTGGTTCAAAATATTTTATTATCATGCTAAAGATTTGTACATGTATGGTAGAGGGCAGCCCCAAGATACAAGTGTTCTTCTCGAGGAACCTTCCCTTGATAGTTTGATGCAATTTTTTATTCAAATGGTGTTACAAGGATCGGAATTCTCTGGAAAGTTCGCGAAAGTCAATGTCACCGTGAATATGTTTTTTTTTTTTAAGAATTTTCTAGAACTATGACTCATCAGTTTAAAAATAGAGTTATTTATATAAGCGGCTCGCTAGTCAGGTTGTTGTAGTGATTTGGGACTTCGTTCCCAGTTTGTGATACCCAAGTGATATTGTGTGACACGTGACAAGAGAAGGGATTTTCCCGTTTGGTTGTGATACTGACATTCTGCTGTCAAGTCCAGAGTTGTTTACCGTTGAGTGCAATACTGCGAAGGAAGTCTTCAGGAGATTTCGCCAAAGAGAAGGACAGTACTTTGCTTGTGGTCAGATAAGCGTAGAGAAGTACATAGTTAATTTTAGTTGGATTGTTCCAAGAGTAGTCGCTAGCTCGTGTTAAGTTATCTCCCGTTGTTTACAGTTAAATAAATTATGTTTCGTGGACATAGCGAGGCTATTATCTTTCTGCCGGTAATCAGTTACCGTAACAATGGAAACAAACAAATTGGAGGGTAATAGTACAAAATGTGCAAAAGTGTATTTCACAGGCTCATGAGAACAACTGTAACAATCCCATAAAGTTAATATTTTATCTGCTAATAAGCTTTGGTA